ATCCAAACTCACCCTGTAGTGGAGTTATCCTGACTGATGACTTTCTATACCATCTGCATGGACTTCCCAGCTTTGTGTCTGTAGCCCAGACCTCTCTCTTCCTGGAACCTGTATCTTAACTTCCTGCTCAACATCTCCATTTAGATACCCAGGAGGACTCTTCAAGTTTACATATCTAAGGTTGGTTTCTTGGTTCCACTTCCCCAAGGCTGTCCCTCCCCCAGTACTTCCTGTGTTGGTAAAGGCTAACTTCCTTCACCCACTTATTTAAACCACAAATCTTGGAGTCATCCTTGACTTTTCTTCTGACCAACTATATCCAATCCATTGACACATTCCATGGGGCCTCCCTTCAAATTATATTTCCAATCTAACCATTTCTTACCATCACCAGCTCCTCGTCTCTGAGTGGACTATTGCAGTAGTCTCATTACTGGTCTCCCCATGTCCATCTGTCCCTCTGCGGCACCCAGAGTGATCCTTTTAACATGCCAAGTGACTTTTCCCCTTAGAACCTTCCAGAGGCACATCATTGTCCTTAGAATAAAATGTGCCATCCTTATGAAAGCCATATGTGATTTGCCCCCCTCACCACCACCAATACACACACACCCCTGCTACCTGCCCTCCAAACCCCTCCCCTGGATTGCTGTCCTGTTCTTCTCCCCCCAGGCACACACCATCTCCAGAGCCTAGGTGTTCATGCTTCTCCCTGTCTGAAATGCACTGTGTTCACATGGCTCACCCTCCACTCAGATCTCTAGGTAAAGCTCATCTTCGTACCTACTACAGCCTTCCCCCCCCAACGAACATATCTAAAACAGACACTTGGGACGTTTATTTCTCCTCATAACATCACAACCTTCTGACGCATCATATGTTTATTTGTTTCTTGTCTTCCCCATGGGATGGAGATTCCGTGAGAGCAGGGATGTTTTCTGTGAGTCCACATCCTTTTCCACAAAGGCCTCAGAACAGTGTTCGGTACAGAGCTCAGTGTTGCCTGATTGGATGATTCTGCCGGACTCTGCTCAGTTATCAAGTCTGTCCGTGCCCCATTAGAGTGGGCAGAAGTTCATTAACTCTGCTGGGTATCAGAATCACTGGGGAAATTGCTTAAAATGCATATGCTTTGACTCTACCCCCTAGAGATCCAAATGCAGTAGATCCTGGGGTAGAATCTGGAACATTTTTGAACAAGCTCCCCCGATAATTTTGATGCCTGAGGTAACTGGACCACACTTTGCCAAACAGTGCCTCCAGTGGACTGGTTTACATTTGTTTATCTGTTGCTCTGTTCTGTCAAGTATTATTTCATGTATATCAGCAGTGCTTGAATCACCTGGGAACCTAAATATAGATCTCATAGCCCCACCCTAGGTCTGGTGAATCAGAACTTCCAGGGATGGGTCTTGGGAATCTATATTTTTTGAAAAGCTCCCTTGGTGACAGTCTTCCCAACAGCCTGTGGGAGCCTCAGCTGTGTTTTACAGGCTCCTTGAGGAGGTTATAAACTCAAGAGCAGGTGTTTCTTATGTCTTTTTAGGCCAACTTCTCTTCCCATCCCTCATTAATCCAACAGTGTTCTACTCTAAACTGGTATTCAGTAAGTCACCATGGAGCGAACACCTTGATTTATCCACAGTTTCTATTTGCCTTTGTAACTTGAACATCAGCCAGTATTTCTAACTATATTTAAATCCAGCCCATTCTCTGATTAGAGGCAGGAAGCAAGTCTTAGCTGCCTTGCTAATTCTGGTGGGGATTCTCTTTGCAGTCTTTTCTATCCACAATTTAAGATGTGTTTCCCAAGTCAGACCAGACAGCATTGAGGTAACATCACTGATCTTCATACTTAAACATTCACCCATTCACCCTTCCTTTTGGACCTGTACTAGGGTGCACGTCCTTAGCCTCAGGGTGCATCCACTAGACTCCACAGCATCCCTGGGGATGGCGACAAGACCTGACCCCTTGCTCTGGGAGCTTTCCTGGGCTGCTCAATCTGCCAAGGAAGGTGTCCCCCTGGATTAGATTCCCTTTGGGGCCTGTGGCCCTGCCCTACTTCTTTTTGGTTTTGTCCTGGAACTATATATAGACACTCTTTGTTTAAAACTAAAATCAAAGCATTACCAAAAATTAAAAAGTAAATGGGTGGGGAGTGGACGGGGCAGGTGATGATACTTGGAGGATTTTATTCCTTGGCTAGACTCAGAGCTAGCTTCTAGGTTAAGAAGAATCACTGATGAAGGCCCAAAGAGAGCCCTTTGGTTAACCTGTTTCTTTTCTTTTCTTTTTTTTTTTTTTAGTGGTATTTTGAGATTTTGAGATTTAAAAAAAAAAGATTTATTTTAGAGAGCGAGCAGGGGGAGGGGCCAAAGGAGAGGGAGAGAGAGAATCCCATGTGGACTGCCCGCTGAGCACCGAGCCTGATGTGGGGCTCAGTCCCACGACCCTGGGACCACGACCTGAGCCAAAATCAAGAGTCAGATGCTTAACTGACTGAGCCACCCAGGCGCCCCTTGGTTAACCTCTTTCTTAAATAACTGAGTCCCCGTGGAGTGTGCACTCTGGACTTTGGATGGCCAACTGGTAACCTTTTTTAATATATTGAGTTTGTGTGTCTTCTTTGCAGAAGATGTCTGGGTCATTATTCAAGGCAGAATCTAAAAAGGAGTAGTGTCATTTAGGTAAACCCAAGAAGCACTTCCGAGCACGCACAGTCTGTACCTTAGAGTTTTGCCTCTGGATAAGCCACAGATTACATTTTGGTGCCAGATGCGAGAAGCCATTAGTAATCAGGACAACTCCCCTGGGAAATCCTGTTCCCAGTCCCTGTTCCAGAGGATCACTGCTTCCTCTGGAATATTTCTTTGGGGGGCTCTGGAGGCTGCGATTTAGTGACAAAGGGGAATGACTTGACCCTAGAAAAATAAGAATGAGAGATTTCTAATGAGATCTGACAGTTCAAGGACTGAAGAAGGAATCTAAGCTTTTTTTTTTTTTTCCTGCCCACCCAGTCTTCATACAAATGTAAATATGCCTCCTTCAACAAATTGCCAAATGTGGTTTTAATTTGTAAGCAGGAGACCCTGCCTTGCCATTTTCTTTTCTTTTTCTCTCTTTTTTAAACCAAAGTCACAGGTTTTGCCCTTTTTGAACTGGACATTTCCTTATGTCACTCCATCATGTTTTCTGTTGTCCTTTTCCTTCCAAGGACATTTTCCCCCATTGTTTGTGATCAGGGGAATTTGGGACGAGAGTCAGTTGTCATGTTTCTTAAAGAAGTTTTTGAAGTTCCCATAGGAAATACATAGTGCTCTTTAAACTGAGTTTAAAAAATAAATAAATAAAGGCAGAGATTGGATCTAGTATGAGATTTGAAGAGTGTCACTATCGCGGCATCATACTTTATGTGGTCTACGCAGTATCCATTGTTGTTATTTATGACCCTGTCTGCCTTCCATTGTGGACTTCTTCAAGCCTTGGGGAATTTACATCATTCCTAATAGCAAAAGGCTTTCTGGTTCCCACAGAGTTGTTCAAAGCCTGACTCATGCTCCTTATGTTAATTGTTCAGCTCTGAAAATACAGCACTTACAGGGTGTGGTCGTAAGGGGAAAATCTACTGTACTTATAGGGCATGTTTAGAAGTGTTTCACACATAAATCTCAGTCTCTCTCTCTCTCTCTCTCTCTCTCTCTCTCATTTCTCCCTCTCTCCCTATACCCCTCTCTCTCTCCTCCTTCCTTCCTCCTCCCCTCCATCTCTCTCTCTCTTTCTCTCTCTCACTTAACTTTAAAACTGTAGCTCTATTTAGTCGACTAGTAAGTCTTATGGGGAGAAAGGGAGAAGCATCAAAATGCAGTATAATCCAATAAAACCTACAATATCCTGTTCACTGACTCTTAAAACTGACTTAGGTTATAACTGGATATGACTATGAGTGACATTGATCCAGGTCTGAAACCATAGGCGGGATTAGCGGGAGCTAAAGACTCATACTCGGGGCTGCAGGGTAGTGATTGCACAAAGGTCAGAGCACCGGCCTGTGGGGCACCCAGGCATCATACTGATGGCTGCTGTCTACCAGACATTCTGGGACTGCCATTGTTAAATTCCAATGTAAGTCTAAAGCAAGGGACCTACTGATAATTTCCCAAAATTGTTCCTCATGGCCTCAACATTTTACTGTGGAATTTGGTGGAGAAGGGCACTTACTGTCCCAGGAAATGAGAAGAGTTAACACCTTGTCTGGATTATCTCCTTAACAAAAAGGAAATGATTCCAAAACTATGAAATAGGTCAATGTTGGCAAAGATTGGGAGTTTTTGACATTTTATGAGTACTTCTGTATGAAGCTTCCTTGGGAACATATAACGATAGATACACAGATAATCTCTGAATTATGTAAAAACTGTGGTAGTGCTGTTAGGTCTAAGAAAAAACTCCCAGTTTTCTGGAAGCCAAGAATCACAAACTTCAGTTTTCAAAGTACCAGTATTCAAAGGCTTAACTCACTTATGTAGCCTTGAGTTTTGCAAAGGCCGCGTTCTATATTTTTGTAAATAGAGAAAATGTGTGGAATTCTTAGGCTAATCAGGGTACAGACCACAGTGCCACCAGGTCTCTCTGGAAGATCAGAGCTCACACACATGCCGCTGCCTGGCACCGTGATTCTGGGCTTCAACACACTTGGGGCCACAAAGTTAGCAGATATTGGCCAAGAGTTCCCAGATGGTTTGGAACCAACATCCTTTCTCTTACAGTCTTTTATGTCTGTGGTGCAGATTAACGTATGAACTGCGTTGGGTAGGGGTCCAAAAAAAGTGACATTTACTGAAAAGTTCTAGATTTAAAAAAATTAAAATAGCTTAACACTAAGTGGTTTCATCTAGTCTTCACAAAAATCCGTTCACTGGGGCATTCAGAGCAGAACTGTTTTTTCTCATGTTCAGCTAATAGATTTCTAGTTGAACCTTTGTTATCTTTTGGAGTAGACGGAAGGAGCTCTCCACGGAGCGTCTGATTATTTTGCTGAGTGTGCGGAGAGTTCACTTCCTCCCAGTGCAAGGCGCAAGAGAAACGCTCGGAAAGAAATGTAGGTCCGACAAGTTTTCTTTTCCTTCTTTTTGATTGTGTGTGTGTGGATATGTGACATGAAGTCTGGAACTCAACAGGAGTTCATGGAAATTAATCACAAACCCCCTCTGGCACTGACCTTACCCTAAGTCTTATGCTTACCCTTCTGCCTTCCTGACTGTCTCTTGCATTCTGGACAGTGGGGAGCGAGTCCTTTCTTCACAGGTGTGTTGCAAGGAGTAATTAATTACAAGCACTTTGAAGATGAAAAGCACCTGTTTGGTGGTGTGTTTCATACAACTTTCCAAGTGACTACAGACCCATCTAAAAAAACACATTCCTTTGCTAAAATGCAGGTTCTGATTCTAATAATTATGATAATTCTCATGCCTCTGATTAGGAACAATAAGAAGGTGTGTGTGTGTGTATGTGTGTGTGTGTGTGTGTGTGTGTGTGTGTGTGTTTCCAGACTAAAGCTTAGCCAAAGTAAATATTTCAGCTTCAGTGTTTTGAGTTTGGTGGTTTAAGAAATTTCTTGTTATTCACAAGCCTGCAAATCGGTGTTGAAGTTAAAGTCTCCAGTCTCTCAATTCTCCCCATGCCGCTCCTGCCCTGCCCCTCAAAGTGAATTTTACAATTAGACTGAAGTTTGCATTGCCTTTTGTATGTGCTATAGAAAAGGTGTGTGTATGTGTGTGTAAGCACATCCTTGTGTGCACACGTGCTCATACACACATGCGCGCGCATGCACGGCCTGTGCTTTGGATGTATCTGATCATTTACTTCTGCAGTAATAAAAACAATATATCAAATTTAGGCAATGTTGACCCTTCACTTCTGAAATGAACACCTGCCTGCCTTAGTTAAAATAGATCCATCATAACTCCAATATAACTACATTGCCAACCCAGTGATCAAGAAACAAAGCCTGTCCTCGTGTATCTTAATAACTAATACTCGTGTGTTGGAAAATGTGATGGCTATTGCTTGATCCAGTCTGAATTTAAACATAACACTAAGGGATTGTTCTAGATTTGCCAGGGAGGTAAGGGAGAAGGAAAGGTAGCACGTGCCTCCTTTTTGAGGTCTAGGAAACATGACAAGGGGTATAGGAACTGGAGGGCAGCATGCCATTACAGCTTTACAAAATGAAACAAAACAAAATCTTTCTTTGTTTTAGTGCAAAAAGAACTGAAACAAAAGACAGCGTTGTGAGCAAATCATGGAGCAGCAGGGACATTGTGGGAACTTCTAGTGACCCAGTGATGGCGGAGATAACGAGGAGGAGGGGTGACAGTTGGGCTTCAACCAGTCCCCCATCAGAGTCCACAGGACAAGCAGAAGATTACATAAAGGCAGCCAAGAGCCACTGGGGGCTTCCTGTTCAAAAGCTGGAAAATGTTCATCAGACCCAGCCAGAAGACACTAGCAGCCAGCAAAAACCTCATTTCGGGGAGTGGTTAGAGACAGGGCTTCTAGGCAGGAGCCCTGTCTGTAGCTGTGAGTCAGCATCACCAGGTCCAAAACAAAGTCCACAAGGGGCCAGAACACAACAGAAACGCAGGAACCGGGGCTCTGCAGAAGACGTCGACCACCACAAGAGAGTTTCTCTTGGAAGTGATCGATTAGTCCCAAGAGAAATAATAGTGGAAAAAAGCAAAGCTGTCAGGGTTTTGCCAACCTCAGAGCTGTCAGATCCGGGGTTACTTTTGAAACAAGGTTTGGCAAAAACGGCATCTAATGAAGAGTTGCATGTTGGGGAAAATCTCTCCTCCGGACATCTTACAAAAAATCAGCCAGGGCAGGCACAGCAAACCGGCTCAGCCACAAACACTGAAAGATTATCTGCAATCCGGAGCAGCCCAACCAAGAAAAGAAAGAAGTACGAAAGAGGCCACTAACTTACTTAACGGGGATTGCAGACTTGTAGTTGGGTATATAATGGCTGAAGGTGCGGAAAGAGAGCGGTGTGTTTAGCTGTCCTGATGTTAAAGGAATTAGAGTGATGATTTTGTATAGAAAGTAGAGCTCCGTGTGAGGGTTAATTTTTAACGCATTCATCTGCAAGAGGCTATGTGCTTTTTCTAACAACATTGCTACTTTCTCATCATACTTTTTTGTCTTCAGAGCCATTCACCTTGTCAAGGTTGACCCCATTCTTGAACGAACTGCATGAAGAAACCAGGCATGTGCCTTTGTGACTCATCACTGGGCAGACCATACAATGGGCCACATGAAGACAGTGCTGTATCTAGGGGTACAATTTCTCCTCCTGTTCCTCAGCCTGAGTTGGGCAGAAGTGAAGGAACAGGTCCTCAATATCTGGTTCTGGGCCCAGCATCACCGTCTGAAAATGTGTTAGAAATGCAGACCTTGGGCCCCACCCCAGATCTACTGAATGAGAAACTCTGGGCGATTCTGAAACATGCTCAAGTTTGAGAACCACTGGACTAATTGGAGACTCCCTAGTGTTTGTTTCCTCCAGCCTGACTCGCATGGCCTCCAGCTCATCTGCCTGAGGCCCACATGTGGACAGGCACCCCCTCGTGCCCCCTCAGACTTGTAAAACACCTGGGTTCGGCATCTGAGCTGCTCTGTTCCTGGTTTCTCTACAGCATGGTGGCCACAGCACCCACAAAACTGTTACTTACCCTAAGAAGTGCTAGAAGTTTATGGGTAATTTGACTCAGCATTAGAGGAAGACAGTAGAGGGAGAGGCTTGTTCTCCCTTGTAGCCCAGGCATGTCCCTGTCCCTGCCCTTGCCCCCACCTCTAAGATTTTGGTTAGGTTCAGGAAAGATTAGAACCCAAGGGGAACTCAGTGGCCAGAGTTTCCAGTTTCCCAGTTGGAAGGCATCACAAACAGTTTGAATTTCAAAACAGGAGCCTTCCATTTGCAGTATCACCCACTAATGTCTCCAGTGGGCTTGCTGAAATGTCACAGAGTGAATCATTGCAATGACTTATTTTGGATGGACACCTACTAAAGATTTTCTTAACCCAACTTCATTCTAAAATAGGGGAAAAACCATATTCAAAGGCCACCCATCAAATACATCTTTTTTTTTTTTCTGTTCAACATTGTGTGGTCCTTTGAAGTAGCACCTCCCTAGTAACAAGGAAAATCAAGTATATTCCCAGAGTGTTGGAGTTAGCAGAAAAATAACCCAGAAGAGGCCCAATGAAATAAAAGAATATGGAAACAGACACAGTGTAGGTGGTTCAGAATGCTTAAAACTAATTGTGGTTTTGTTTCTCTAGCTCATTCTATACTTGCCTCTGACTTCTTTCCCACTTGAAGGGTAGGACTCCTTAAGAGGCAACCATACTCCCTGACACCATTTTGGGTCATGCAGTTCAGTGTTGGTCACTACCCTTGGCCATGAACGTAGATGCTATTCCTTTGCTGTTCCCCACACTGCCTGGACACCTGTCCCCTTCTCGTGGTCCCAGCCTCCCCCCCCCCCCCCCGGAACATGGCCTGCCCACCGGTGACCTTTCCTCTTCCCGCAGGTTTTTCCCTGCTCTTAGCTGATTCCAGTCAAAGCATTCTGTAGGAGAAGAGGGAGCCCAACAGAATACTAACCACAGTCGAGCAGATTGTATTCATCCATTTGGGAGTAGACTGCACAGAATGGAAATGCTCCACTGTGGGCCCCCTCTCTTGGAGTGACAACTGTTCTAGGTGTGCTCTTCACCGAAGTCAGGGGCAGAGTGTGTCACTGAATATTCTTGAACAGAATTCTTGGAACAGTTTAAACAGAGGGGGGCCCAAAGAATAACCCGGGTGATCGGCCAAAAAACAATAAGCTCCCTGGAACGGAATCTCAAATAAAAAAGACAACCATTTCAGAACACTAGCTGTTAACCCAGCACTAGAAGGAGATGTTTGGAATGGAGGCACCAGAGAAAAGCTTTTAATTGAAAAGTTTTTATTTCATTTATTAACTGGGGCCTGCACAGTGGGTAAAGCCAATCCTTGTGATTTAATGATTTTCTCTCAAGAACAGCCTTGGCTTTAGAGTTTGGTGTATTTGTGGAGATAACAATTACTGTGACCTCAAAGGGAAAATAGCACATTTGGTTGTAGGTTGATAGGGTCTTTCTCACAGCGCACATGTACGTGGGATTGTGACAGGATTAACGGAGCGAAGAGCTCTCTGGTTCTGCACTGTGGCCTGTGTCTGAGGAATTTTGCCTTTAAGCATTTTCTCCCACATGTCTGAAACACCCCTGGATCTCTTAGTACTGGAGTGGTTGTGTAATTCTTTGGATGTTTGAAAGTACAAAGGGGAAAATGGCTGCCAGGTTTTATTGTTGCTTATTAGCTGGGAAATGCAGAGTTCTCCACGACTGGGAGTGGTATGTGTGTTGACATTCTTAATAATCTTATTAATTACGCATCTGAAAATCTGAGAGCCTATCAATATTCTTAGACAAAAAGAACAAATTCTTCAACCACTTAATAACCCAAACTCAATTTATATTCAAGTCCCTGTAATTCTGATGCTTGGAAGAAATGTGGGTCCAATTCTGTTAATGTTACAACTTTGAGCTCCCTATCTCAGTGTCATGGCTTCTAAGTCACATCCATGTGCTTTCAGATGACTTTTTAATAGATTGATGTTGAGTGTTGTGTTTTTGTTGTTGTTGTTTAATGTCTATAAACAAATCTCTGAGAACAGTCAGTGTGATTTTTCTTACACTTTTTTTTTTCTTTGCCACTGGAGGATAACTGTTGTCCAGATATGCATGTAAATTGTTAAATGCAAAGGAGCAACTATTTGGGGAGAGAGGCGTGAGTGCTTTAGCTTTTTTGTTTATTTATGTTAAAGAAGTAAGAAAATGTATTTCATTTTATAAAAAGCAAGAATCATTAAAACCTCTATAGTTTGATTTATGGAGAATATAGCTTATTTCTTATCTCAATATATGTCTTAGGGGTAACAGTGGGATCCCAGTTAATTGTTTGCTTCTGGTGTCATGTTTGGATTTTAGCATGAATTGTTTTGCATCGCACGGTCTTTGATTTTAGCAAGAGCTTGGTAAAGGCAAAGCACCTAAGGGAAGGAAACCTCTACGCCCAACAGTCGGCCTGGGATCACAGTGCTGCCATTCCCAGTTTCCTTGAATTCCTTCTTGGCAGGCCCCACTGTCCTATTTCCACAGAATTTTAGTGAGTGGCCTTCCTTTTGAGGTAACAGATGCCTCTCCTAGGAGCCAAAACTCCTCTCTTCGGTGTTCCATGACTTGAATATGGAAATCATTTCAATTTCTTCTTTTCTCTTATGAGGAAATTTCCATGTTCGTTTTGTTAAGACGATAGAGTTCATTCCTTGTTATTGAAACACTAATGAATTGAAACACGGTGGAGCAAGTGAAAAATCGAAATTATGCTGATTTCTGTTAAGTAGTTTAAAATCTTCCTTAAGTAAATTAAGCATTATAAAATGAAGTTAATGCAGATAATTACTCAGGACAGAAGTAACTATATAGATCATTGGTACTGCAATTTAATGATATAGTTAAATTCTCAGAAATCTGCAGAACTCCTTCTAATTTGGTTTCTGTATTTATTTAACAAGACAAGGAACAAATGTATGTCAATGTGTGTGCTTAACAGAGGGGACTTGAGTGGATGAAATTATTACCTTTAATTGTGGAGAACTAACTCAATACTGGACTTGAATCACATTCAAGTAAGTTTTGTACAGCATAATATTGCCATGTATTACTTTATAATTGCCGTTAGAATTACTTATCAAAAATCTTGATTCTTAAGTTAAACAAGAATCAGGAAAACCATACGTTTGGCCCCAAAGCATCTGATCAGGTGACTGTAGTTGTGGATTTGACAGAACCCCAGAAAAAGTTTTATTAGTCAAGTTAGGAAGCCAGACGTTGCAGTCATCACCGGGAGAGTTCTTTTTTCCCCATCGCAGTTACCCTGTCGTTTGTTTTGTTTAAACTGCTTAAATAGTTTAATGTGTCTGAAAGTACATGGGTCAAAGTAGTATGTAGAGGAAACGAACCTGCTTTATAAATAAAAAGTAAAATTGTTTAAAAAAATTAAATGAGTGTGTATCACTTTTCTCCAAAACAAGTGAGTTAGCCCCAAAGAATATACATCCAAAATGCCCTTTTCTGAACATGCGATTTAAAATTATATTCTCTTAGAGATTTTTTTTCCTTCTTGAAGCAACTCTGAGGTTTTGAGCACTATGTTAAAATAATCCCAAGGAGCTCTGCTTCTGAACATTTAGGTCTGGAGAACCCTGTGTGGGGTGTTATGATTAAATTGGCCCATAAGATTCCGGGGTGGTCTTTACAATTCAGATATGTTCCCATTTCTTCCAGTTGTGAGCTAAGAGAGATCCCTCTTGTGAGAGGTTAAAGTATGCAACCTTGACTCCTTTCCAGAAAAACCTTGATATTTCCCAAGTGGATTCATTTCCATTTTCTAAGTGGATCTAGTCCTTGTTCACCACTGAATGAAGTCCTGGGCCAACTCTTTGTCTACACTGCCTGTTATGATGGGATCTCAGGCCCCTTTGATTGCTTGTATGTGTATCTCCCCTCAGATCTGTACCTAATCTTTCAGAGGCATTTCAATATGAGGTTGGGATAATACATTTGAAAAGCTGTGTGTGAAATGCTGAGAACCACTGCAGTCGATGAAGCAAAGCGCCTTTCTTAGTGGTTTGCCCCTGCCGGCATGCTGGCTGGCCTGGCCCACGGGGAAGCTGACCTGCCCTGGGCCTGGGGTTTGGGCTGGGGATCCATAGCCTGGAGATGGCGTGGTGCTCCAGGCTGCAAACCCCGGGTTCAGGCTGCCGCTTTGCCACTAGTTGGTTTGTGTGTTTTGGGACAAGTCTCTTAAACTCCTGGGCCTCAGTTTCTTCCTTTGTCAAATAAAATTCTCTCTCCTATTTTAAGTGCCACACTGAAGGTAAACACCACTCCCATGTGGTAATTTCTATATCCATTTAAAAAACAGGTTCTTCCCACTGGCCGCACTTGGAATTACCTGAGTAGCTTCTAGTTAAATCAGAATCCTTGAAATTTGTCCTGAGTATCAGCAGTTTTAAAAACGCTTCAAACACTGATTCTAGTGAGAAGCCATAGTTAAAAATTGTTTTAAAATGTAGGGGGTTTGGTGGGTGTGTTTAAATAGTGGATGTTAAAAGAGGCAGGGTGTGCTCAGAGCTGAGTGTCCTTTATAAGGGGGGCGTGTAAGGAGTGTGCCTACTTTCAAATGAATGAGAAACACTTTGGTGACAAGGTGTCAATAGGCGTACATTTTAATCACACAAAGAGATGTGTTTTGTTTTTCCCTTCAGGCCCTCTATGTCAGTACTGCTGCTTTAGACCCAGCACATCAGAGCAGCTTCGTCTTTGCCAACACTGAGAAATTGTTGCCCTCATACAGAAGACGGGTTTTTAAAGCACCTAAGTAATTGTCTAGGGTTTGCCTTTGATCCATGATCATTAATATCACTAATAAGCTCTCGAAAAGTGCGTGTGAATCTCAAGTTCACATTTGGCAGGGCTGTGGAAGAATGAACGCTTTTAAAATAGTTTGGCTCAGAAAGCACATCTGAAATAACCCTGTGGGAAAATCAGGAGAATTTCTCATCCTCCAAAGGATTACCTAGGATGAGATGCTGACCTTGTATTTTAAGTTCGGTTACATTTCTTAAAACCTCATTCATTACCCAGCCTGATTTATTTTAGTGGGCGAAGTAGGCTGTGGGAGGGGACTCCAGTGATGTACAGTGTTCTTGTTGGCCTTTTGTTTTCTCCACAGTTCCCAAAAGATCATCACGTAAATATATTTCTTTAAAACACACATGCAGACCAGCTTCCTCACGAGATTTACTACAGCTTTTCTCTCAGAAATTAGAGCTGAAGATTCTCTCGTCTTCAGGCTTCTGAGGCGATCAAGCCCCAGAAGGCCGAGTGTGTGCAGGGTGAGCAGAGCGCTGACCTCTGCCGGGGAGAGGTCAGCTCAGCACACAAGACTCAAAAGGGAGGAAGAAAAAGCAACTCCTCAGCAGGGAGTTTGACTTGCTTTAGGGCAGAAGAGATTTTATAAATAAGTTCCCAGTCTCCCACGCCCTCTCACCGGCTCTTCTATTACTGGTCCTGTCTCCGCGCTTAGATACACACACACACACTGTCTCTCTCTCTCTCTCTCTCTCTCTCTCTCTCTCTCTCTCTCTCTCTGACGTGGGGACACAGACACACAGCTCTTACTTCCACTTGCTGCCTCACATCCCTCTCTCCACCTGCCCCGGGAACTGTGCGTTGCACTGCAGACCCTTCTCAGGAGGAGGCAGGTGATGGATTGACTGGGAATTTTTCTAAGCCCAGTGGCTCATAAGGCCTTTTCTCTTCCTCCTTAACAGGCTCAGCTGGTGAGAAGCATGCAGAAGGCTCTTTCCCAAACCCACTGTGGGTGCCTGGGAGGATTAATACCAGCCCATCCATTCCTGTTGTCACAGGGAGAAGGTGGAATGGTGAATTAGGGCGACCTCCAGCCTTGATGTGGCAGACTGGGTGTTTGGGATGTGTCCCAGTAGGAGGAGCCCAGAAGGCCCTTTTGTAACAATGCCAGAATGAATCGAGGCTTGTGAAGCTACAGCACTGCTTTGATTTGTATGTTCCCCTTAAAATGCTTCCCTGGTGAGCCTTTTCCCAGTGTCTTCTGCTTGGTGCGGTGACCATCTAGAGCAGAGTGGTGACTGCATGGGCAGACCCCGGGACAGCTAGTAAAGTGTCCTCCGGTGGCTCCCCAGTGAAAAGTGCCCATCAATACGAAGGTACTTCTGGGAGAAGAGCTCTCCATGTCAAAGATTCAGGGGATCTGCTATTGGGGTTCTTGTTTTGCTGCTAATTATCTCTAGCTAGAAGAACCTTCTGGATCTCAACTAAAATCTCTATCCAGGCTCAAAGACAAGAATACTGTCCATCTGTGAATTTTCCACATCAAATTGGCTTTGTTTTCTCTTGAAGATAGTATTCCTCAACACCGGTTTATCAAATTGCGTGTTTTGGATCCTGGTTGTAGAGACGATTTTGGCTGTTGTTCTGCAAGTTTATAAGGTCTCATTCTAGGCCCTGGTAACATTTTAGAAAACCTCGCTGAACTTAAGAGAAACCTAAACTTTCTGTCACTGGCTATGCATGTTCACCTAAGCCAGCTGCCCCTCTGAGGGCAGGCTCAGGACAGAGCAGATGGTACGAGAGGAAGTTGGGCTTGATATTTAGCTCTGACTCAGTCCAGAGCAAATGGCCACTGCGCGGTGAGGACAGCCGAGGAGGGAACTTCCTTCTAGGGAAAGGCTGCTTGGTGGGAGGGGGCCATTACCAGGTATTTCTGGGATGTCCAGTCCTCTGAAAACCTCCTCAAGAAAATGAATCAAACATTATCACACAAGGAGAGAAAACTGACCCAAGACCATGTGTCCTGGAGTCCTGCAAGGCCAAGCACCTGGGCTTACCTCATCTGGCTCTAACTGTATAAAAGGGTAGGGAGGTTGGATGTGGAAGACAGAACCATGTTCTATTACTTTTAGAGGCTCTCGAGAGCTGTCTACACTGGCAGACCACTCACTTTTGTAGAATTTAATTGGGAACCAAGTTTTTTTGTGGTCCTCTAGTTCATTCTTGTCTTGAATGCACTTTTCTTTCTGCTACACTGTTAGGTAGCAGGCACTGAACTGATTGGGGAAAAGCTGATGATTTGTATAGCCAGGACCCACACCACCACATGATGGAGCCTGGGACAGCTCCCTTTGG